GACCATTACCGTGGGATTAGTAACTCTAGGGGAAGTTATGTTACCATGATTTTTTTCATGCTATTTGTATTTTTGCTTTGGGGCTTGCACTCAGGGAGTTAGGTCATTGGTTGAATTTATCTTTTTGTAAATTAATTGTTAAGAACACTTTCTGCTCTTGAAAAGGAACTAAATTCAGTGTCCGCCACTCATGTGGGATGAGTCATACAACTGTCACTTCAGCTTCAGGGGGTCTGATGCCCTCTTCTGGGCCTCCTTGGTCATGTGCACACACACACACACACAATGTGGTATCTTTCTTTTCTAGACTGTGTGTTCAGGCATCAGTTACCTGCTTGGCTTTGAACTGCTTCTAACCCTGGGTCTTTCCATCCTTTCAGTGTTTTCAGGTAAATATCTTCACCACAGATGATGTTTTATTGTGTGCTGATATTTTAATGATCATTTCTGATGGTTCCCACTTTACCCTTTCTTCATTTTGCTTTATTTAGTCACAAAAAGCACTAGAAGGTTCCTGTGAAGCTTCCTTTTCAATTTAAGCTGTTCAGCACCTAGCATTGACCGCACAGCTCCCTTCTCACATTCTCATTCCTGGGAACTACCTTTCGCTTGTCCCATGGACACTTTTATTCTGACAGTGGTGGCAGTTTATTCTTCACTTTTGTGGACTAGGTCACTTACATTCCACTAGACATGGGATCAGAGCCAAAGACTTTGAGGGAACAAGGTCTTTCAGGAAATTTTTTTAAAGAAAAGTTTTTCATGTTTCGTGTGTGTGTGTGTGTGTGTGTGTGTGTGTGTGTGTACACGTGTGCACACATGTGTATTCCACATGCCTGTGGAGGTCTTCCTTTTGCCGTGTGTGAGTCCCAGGGATCAGAGAGGTTGGTTAGGCAGAAAGTTGCTTTACACACTGAGCCCTCTCACCAGCCCAACAATATGTTCTTGATAAGAATGAATAAACCAGGGGAGCTGGGTGTTGGTGGCACACGCCTTTAATCCCAGCACTCGGGAGGCAGAGGCAGAGGATCTCTGAGTTTGAGACCAGCCTGGTCTACAAGAGCTAGTTCCAGGACAGCCTCCAAAGCCACAGAGAAAGTCTGTCTCGAAACCACAAAAAAAAAAAAAAAAAAGAATAAACCAGGGACTGGGCAACAATGGAGCACACATGGCCGGAGAGCAGAATCATTTGTTCTTTAGCACCGTGAATTTTATCAAATTCTCTTAAATTTCATGTAATAATTTTTTTAAAAAATCATATAATTTTTTATCTGAGAAGCCCTCTTGGGATCGTTTGTATATTACTTTAGTAAAGGATTACATCTCTTTTCATGTTTGGGGCTTGTTTTGTTTCAGAAGGATAAAATAGTTCACAGCCAGGGCAGAATTTATGAAGATGTTACCAAATCTGACTTAATTGAGACTAGGAGATCTTTCTTTGAAAATATTCTTTCTCTTGATACCCGAATTCAACTGCCAGAGTTTAAATGGTAAAATTAGCAATAAAATAAAATAAAATAAAATCATTACCTTAACCTGATAGAAAATTCACCAGGAGTAGGCATTGGAGTTGTTTTTAAATTTCTCCTTTGATCCATTAAACTTTCTTTACTTTAGTACTTCATTCATGAATTCTGAGGAAGGGTAGGGCAAGTATAAACCACTAAACCTTGGATTTTAGGCAAAAGACGCTTGCAGGAGTGGGTAGCACCCTCTGGTGGACAGTTATGGTGGATTGTTCCAGTGCACCCAGCATGCTCTCTGGAACAATCTGGGGACACCGAATCCTCTTCCAAAATCATTGCCCAGCAATATGTTTCTGTGGCTTTCTGGCGGTAGCAAGCAAAAAGCCATATTCTAGTGGGTACAGGATATAGACTCAATCGGGGTGGGTTGTGTGAAATGTTATTTTTCTGTTTATTCCAAATATGAATGCCCGAAGAGTGGGGGAATTAGAGTTACTTTCTTGTTCTGGTGACACACGAAGTAAGCAGTACCAAATGGTGAATAAGAGGAAAACTCCAGCTGATGCAGGTAGAATTTTCTCCTTAAGTGGATGGGTTTCAGGAACAATAAGGGGAGAAATACATATTAACTTTTTTTCTTTTTGAGTCAAGATTGTACCATGTAGCCCAGGCTAGCTTCAATATCTGGATCGTCTATTTCTGTATCTTGAATGCTAGGATTACAGGCACGCACACCACACACAACTCTTAGAATTTACTTAAAAGTAGGCATATGCTGAGAAGGCCAAAGGGAGAATACATTTATACAAATCTGACTAAATTAAAAAACATGGGGCTACTAATGACATAGATATTGTACACATGCTATAAACCATACCTCTCACATCATTAGGCCTCTGAGTTATCAGTCTACTTGCAGTGAAGCACACATTATAAATATGACCAAAATTAAGTTCAAGAGCAATGCTCAAATTATCTCCCCCCACACCACCCCCCAGACAAGGTTTCTCTGTGTAGCTTTGGAACTGGCTCTTTGTAGACCAGGCTGGTCTCAAACACAGAGATCTGCCTGCCTCTGCCTCCCGAGTGCTGGGATTAAAGGTGTGTGCCACCACCCAGCTTCAAATTAGCTTTTTAAAATACAGTTTAAAAGGGGCTGGAAAGATGGCTCAGAGCCTCTCTGTCTCTCTCTCCCCATCTCTCTCCCCTGTCTCTTCTCTCCTGCTGCTCCTGTCTTTGGAGGCCGGTCTCCCCCCTTCCCTTTCCCCTTTTTATGATCCCTTTCCCTAATAATAATAAAACCCTCTGCTTGAATCCTGTCGCATGGGGTCTTTCTCTCGGGCGCTGCTTTTCTTAAATTACAACATACATGGAGCCGGAACACTATATACATAATAAATAAACCTTTAAAAAATACAGTTAAAAAAGTCAGACTGGTGGCTCATGCCTTAACCCTAGTACTCAGGAGCCAGAGGCAGAGGCAGAGGCAGTAAGACTATCACAAGTTTAAGGTCAGCTTGGTCTACTACACAGTAACTCTAGGTCAGTTAGGGTTACATAGTAAGGCCTATGTCATTTAAAAAAAAAAAACTAAATCAAAACAAAAAGCACATCAAAACTTCTTTTCTCCACTTTGAATTTTTTTTTTTTTTGAGACAGGATTTCTCTGTGTAGCCCTGGCTGACCTGGAACTCACTCTGTAGACCAGGCTGGCCTCAAACTCACAGAGATCCACCTGTCTCTGCCTCCCTAATGCTGTGATTAAAAGTGTGCGCCCCCATCGTCTGGCTACACTTCGAATTTTTTAAAATTCTGATACTTCCTGCAATGTGTGTGTGAATTAGCTGTATGTCTTAGTCACAGTTATATTGCTGTGAAGAGACACCATGACCAAGGCAACTCTCATAAAAGAAGGCATTTAAGTTACGGAGGTTTAGTTCCTTATCATCATGGTGGCAGGCATGGTCCTGGAGAAGCTGATCCTGATCCACAGGCTGAGAGAGAGGGAAATATTGGGCCCAGTTTGGGCTTTTGAAAACTTCAAAGCCCACTTCCAGTGACACATTTCTTCCGACAAGACCACACCTCTTAATCCTTCTAATCTTAAGAATCTCATTCCCTAGCAACTAAGCCTTCGAATATATGAACCCATGGGGGCCATTCTTATTCCAACTACCACAGCATGAATGTACTTCAAATTCGTATTTGGCTCATTTTGAATTGATTTAAAATGAAATGATTCAAGTTTATAGAGAGTTAAAGTACATGTTGATACTAGAAAGTTTGAATTGTATTTCCTCTGAGATTCTAACACTGTCTATTAAATCTTAACTCGGAGTACAGGCCAATCCCCCGTTGCTAGGTTCCAAACATAGTTGTTAACAAGTTGTCAGTCACGTGGGATATACTTGTCATGGTTAATCTTCATTATCAACTTGACTGGATTTAGAATCACCATGGAAACACACCTCTGACAGAGTGTAGGAGGCTGTTTCTCCAGAAGAGTTTAACTGAGGTGAGAAATGACAGCACCATCGTATTCAGTGGGGTGTTGCCTCAAATAAAGAGAAAACAAATTTGGCACCATTTTCATTTCTCTACACGGATCGCAGATACAGTGTGACTAGCGCTTTGTTACCAAGCCTGCCCGACTGTGCAGGCTGTACTCCTAGAACTGTAAGCCCAAATAAAACCTTGAGCTGTTTCATTGTCACAATTAAGGTGGGTGATGTTACCGACACCTATTGTGTACAGTACAGGGATACTAACAAACATTTTACACACACACCAGGCAAATAATTATTTGCTCCAAAATATAAATAAGCTGAGAAACAGGAAACTAAAAAGCCATCAACTTTCAGGGTCCCTGCGAAGACAGGCAGCGCCCGGAATTGTCGAAGTTCATCCTCGATTTGGGGAGAGCGTTAGAGGAAGGATGGCGCCCAGGCCTGGAGCCCGGATTCCAAAGCCCAGAGCTCCTACTCCCTCGGATGAAGTCCTGAGGTCAAGAAGGTGGCGTGTGGCTATTCCTGCGTATGCACGGGGCGACTAGGCGCGCCTCGGGCAGACAGACTTCTACCTCACCTCAGAATAAACTGAGCATCGGGCTGCCAAGGCTCGCCCCCCACCGGAAGCCGCCAGAAGCTGCTGTGGCGTCCTCCTCACCTAGCAACGCGCGGGGAAGGAAGTGGCTGCGGCGCCACGCCCCCTGCGCCTGCGCACAGACG